CAGCAGGATTAAGAATTAACTGGACTTCACCAAAATTTTCCAGCTGAGAGGCAGAACAGGGTTTTTCTACTCGGGACCGTGAGTTAACATGTAACAAGACAGTTTGTCTCATTTGGTCAGTGCTTGTAGCTTAAGCTTAAATGGCGCATGCACAGATATTTTCAGTGCAGAAATGGCCACAGGTTGCTGGCATAAAAGTGTTTTCCAGAGTCTGTGAACAATCTGTAGAATAAATCCTAATTGTCGTATTGCAGTGAGGAGGCTTATTACTTTCATGCAGCTAGGCTTTGTGCTCAGCCTGAGTGGGATTTGGCTGTATATATGCGCGCTTCAAAAGTATGATGAAACATGGTATTAGACTAATCACGGCTACACATGACTGTGTCTACTTAAATGAATTCCTCAGTGTGGAATAGCAGGCGGTTGTCAGTGAGATGGACACAGGGATCTTGGCAGAGGCTGCACAGATCATGCCAACACAACATGATGGCGCCTGATTCAGACTAGAGCTATTTGGATTCAACGCAGCTGAGTGAGAAGTGATCTTGCTGGGACTGGGCCTCGGGGAGCGGAAGATGCTTAGATCTGTGTTGGGTCAGATCACCAGCCTTTTAATACGTTGATGAGTATTCATTCACAAAAGAAGCATCTGAAAAGCAGTAACTGGCGATATTGTGTTTTTCCCATCGTTACCCTTAGACTTGAACTGACACACTAGGTTTAGATATCCCCAAAGTGCAGTGAAATTCAGCTCCGGGTCTGAAGCTTATAGCTGAGGCCCATCTCTTGGTAAATCTGAAAACACTTGCTGCTTTATGCTGACAGCTGGAGTGCACAAAATAAATATTCCAAAATTTAATTTGAAATTGTGGTTATGGTCAGGGAAGGGACTGTAAAAATGGCCTCTCTTACTCAATGGATATTCTCCCTCTATACCCTTCAGGCATTTCTGCTAAAATCTTACTGATTCAGACCAAGTAATTACTGCTGTTAGTGCTGCAAAACCAGTAACGCTGTGGTGAAAAGAGCTGGATTCTGCCCCATGCATCATCAGTGAAAGTATCTGCTGCAGATGTTTTATAGCTGGATGATGAGCCAAAAGGCAGAATGAAGCAGCTTGATTTTTCCTATTGAAGAAAGATTTTCAGTCTTGAAATTAGCAAAATTGACTGGAGAGTGTTTACACTAAGCCAATCCAATCTAGAATTGACTGGGAGAGTAAATCTGAAACCTCTCCATGTCATTTTAACATCAGCTGTTAGAGGTCCCCTTAAATAACACAGGCAAACACCAGCTCCTAGGTTGTTTTTGCTGGTGTAATGTTGGCATTTTTCCTTGACTCATGTTTTTTGTTCATTTAAAGTTACACTGATGATTTCCAAGTTGATAAATAAATAAAATCACACATGAGGAACTTTGAGGGCTGAGCGATGGAGCAATAAGGTCATAGAAACAATAGAGCGTGTAATTTTGAAAGGTTTTTCTGTGGCATGTGGGATGTGCTGACGGTTCTTTTAAATTACTTATTGGAAAAATTTTAGACTGCAAAGGAATAAATCTGGTCTTCAAATGTGGTTTTACTCTGAAAAACAACAATGTAAAAATGCTACCTTTGCGCTCCGTAGAGCTTTTCCCTGTGCATATGAATCCAAGATGTCTTCTATTTACTGCATTGCCAAAAATAATTTTTTCTGCTTTTTTACTCTAGATACCTTTGAAGAGTCTATGCAACTAAGGACCATTGACTAGACTGTTTTTCTTTTTGAATCACCAGCATTGTTAATCTTGAGTTTTAGTTTTCATTTCTGAAATAAAAGCGATCAAAAACTCTTTAAGCACATAAAAGTGCAGATACTTGCCTAGTGGCAATTTCCAAGGGTGCTAACCTACAAAATCCCATTAGAGTCTCCCTCCATATTTATGTGCTTAAGTACTTTTGGACGTCTGTCCCCTACCCACTGAAGAGTCATTTATATTCACACTGGCACTCTAGCCAATGCTAGCTAATGATTAATTGTATCAAAGAGAGTCAGTTGCGATAACAGCACTTCTGATCATTCAGCTCCCTTGGTTGAAGTGACACATGAGAAGGAAAGATCCCAGCTCAGTGCTTGGATCCTAAGCTAAACTATTTCCCTGTGTTATTTGAACAGAATCTGATGTGGAAATCACTGGCACACAGGAAGTGTGACATAGCATGGTGGCATTTTTACAAGGGTTTTCAAAGCCAAGTTGCATGCTGAACACATGCAGTGTCAAGTGCAAATATCTGCAGTTCTGAAACCTTCGCTGTGTGGCTGAAGGGGGTGGAAGGGAAGAGAGGAATGCAGCACAGCAGCCTTGGAGAAATTAAATGTGTGCGGTTTTGTATCACTCTCAGGCACCTGTTACATGTGAAATTCTAAAAGTAGAGTTACGTATTTTTACCTTTCTCCTGTGGATTAAATGTGGTTTTGCATTTTAAAAGAAAGCGTTTTTAAGCACTTCCATGTTTTGCAGAATAGCTGAAGTAATACAGAGGATACAGAAAAATAACGATCTGTCTACCAAACGTTCATGACTAATCCATTACTTTATGCTTAAAGTAACAATAAAAAAATGACTTGGAGAATAGCATGTTGCTTTATAACTATGTTAACTGTGCTTTGAATATAAATTTCCAAAAACTGAACAAGACCTTCAAGAAGAAGCAGTCTCATAATGATAGCAATGTATCTGTGAGCCAGTGGTAAATAAGAAATGTCTTCTCTAATGCAGCTAGTTTTTCCTCTTTCCTAGGTGTTTATATGTATTAATAACATCCCTTTTTATTTTTTCTAGGCACCAGTAACAGATGTGCAGTTTGGCCCTATGAGACTTCATCAAGATCAACTTCAGGTAATACATTTCACAGTTTAAACTGAAGTCTTAGTTTCTAAAACAGCACAGAAGTTAACTTAAAAAAGTGACTTGATTTTTTTGTAAACAAAGATCTTCATAGAACATTTTTGTTAAGTGATACATGTGCACCAAACAGATTTTATCACAGCATTCTAGGTGGTATCCTGTCCTAAAAATCCTGCCTAAGTCTGTCCTCCAAACATCTCTCAACTGGCAAAATTACCTATTGCTCTTTCTCCTATAGGTTAGCTTGCAATCAATTTAATGTGTGCCATGTTTTATATTACACAGGTGGTCATTTCTTAATCAGAATCTCATGTGATACTAAGCCTGAAATCTATTATACCAATGTTTTATTGCTATCACTGATTTTGCAGTATCATCACAGAAGTTGTCGTGAACTTGACAAAATATGGGGATTTTTTTATTCATTGTTGACTGGCATTAATTCATCCTCCTTTATCTCTTTATTAATAAAGGTCTTATGCCAGCTGTCCCCTTATTTTATCTGGGATAGGCATCAGGCTTGCAGATACATAGTTCCCTTGGACAGCCTCTGAAAGCTCTCCTGTATGCCAAGCAATATTGAACCGTTAGTAATCCAAGATGTTCCTGAATCAGTAATTCCACTCTTGGGTGAAAATTATCTGATCCTACTGATTTGAAAATATCTGTCTTGAGGAACTACAATTCAACGTTCTCCTGAACTGTTGTCAAGTAGACAGTACTGCCATCAAATGTTGTGTCTTAACATAGCCTCATCCAGCTTTTCTCCAAATATAAATTGGAAATATTACTTGAATATTTCTGCCCCTTTTATCAGTATTAATGATTAGAATGCTTTTGTCCGGTCGTGGCCCACTCTAAAATTCTACTAATTAAGCCTCAGCTGGCAGGTCTGAGGGTGGTAGTAGTTAGACAACATCACATTTGTGCCCAAGTCGTTCATCCAGCCCAGATTTGCTGACTGTTCTCCTGTGCTGTTGCTGAAAACCATTCTTCCACTCCTAAGAGTGTTATAAATTAACTTCACTAAATATAGCCCAAACTATGACATGTTTTTGCAAACAGTTTAGCAGGTTGCTATAAAAGGAATCTGAACTAAATGAGTACAAAGTCCTTCATTCTTACAAAAATATGCACTACATGGAAATGCTAAGATTTACTGGTAGACATTCCACCAACCTGGTCCAAAGTGTAACCAGCACTGGCATTCCTAAAATTACCCAGAAGATAAATGGCCGTGGGATGTGGTGTGAGTTACACATGCTCTGCATTATTGTCTGACCAAAATATATATCTAAGTGTGGTATGATTAAATTACTGAAATTTTGGTGTCCTGAGACAATAGGCCAAATGCTGATTTAATTATCCATCTTTCCCGAAAGGCTACACGTACTGACTCATCCACAAAAGCAGCATTAACATAGATCCATATTCCGCCGTTCTATGTATTCTTTCAGGCAAAAGAAATTTTCTTCCGTAAAATATTACCCTGATCGAAAGCATGATGACATCAGTGGAAGTCTTCCTTAGCAGACTTTACGTTTATCCTTACTTCTGTAGCACGTTCCATCCTAGAATTTGAAATACGTTTCAGAAGGAATTGGGCCTTATCATGTTTCCATGCATATGTGGGCATTGTGCTGATTTTTAAAAGGCTCAGAGAGATTCATGTTACTAGCAATTACATGGAAAGTTATAACAGAGCAAATACTGGGTTGCAGATCCCAGACCTGACTTCCAGGTCTGAATTTTAACAATAGAAATCACCTTCTATGATAAAAATCCCATGGCAAGCTTTACATAGGAGTCACATGGGGACATGTTCCATATGCAGGGAGATAGACTGTGTTTTCATTCTTGCATGAGTTCACCTTGTCCAGCCTGGCTGTAGTCCCCAGAAGCCTCAGGGAATGGGCTTTTTGTGGTATTTGGGGGAACTAGGATGAGATGAAAAGGGAAGGACACTTCTCATTGTGCCATTGAAGTACCATTAAATATTAATTCACAATGAGGTTAGCCATGCTTTTGCGAATAGTGCAGGGTACTTTGCTGGAATAGGATCCTGGCAAGAAGAATAAAAGCCAAATAAAAGGGTTGTATGGTAGACAATTTCAGTGAAGAAGCATACTTATTGGTTTTTTTTACACACTATCTGAAAAGTGGGCATCTAGTCTTAACTGATTGCCTGAGCTCTCTCAGTAGCTAATGAGGAGAGATCTACTTTCCAAAGTTGTTCATCCCATTTGGGTATAAATGGCTCAGGCAGAATGTTTTATCCACCTGAAGCAGCTCTGTACACAGACAATTATAAAAAGCAGTAGTCTGTAGAAAGCACTTCTGTTAAAAACTGTGAGTTAAGCCTTGGAAGTGGCTTTCACAAAAATGTTAAGAACAGGCAAAATCATAGAAGCTACTATATACGCGTTTGTAATGATTCACTGTCTGCCTTGAACCAGGTACTTTTAGTGTTTGCCAAAGAAGATAACCAGAGTAACGGGTTCTGTTGGGCATGTGAGAAAGCTGGATTTCGGTGTAATATTGCCAGGACACCTGAATCTGCACTAGAATGTTTTCTGGACAAACACCATGAAATTATCATTATTGACCATAGACATTCCAGATACTTTGATGCAGAAGCATTATGCAGGTAAGCACCATTTCAGTCTAATTAATAAACATGTAATTAACACGTCATGAAAGTTCTGTTGCTTTTATATGACCCTTTCTATAAAATCTATGAAATGCTGATATTTTTTGGACAAATGTCCATTGGCAGCATCAATTAACGTCATCTCAGTGCTTTGCCTCTGAGGACTGCAGCGTTTTTGTTTGGATGCTAAGATATTTGAGGCTGTATCTAGGGTGCTGTTGAACCGCAGCATACAAATTTGTTGCCATAACGAAATGTTTTTTTTCAAATACCTGGTTCCATGATTGCACCTCTAATTAACTGCAAAGATCACATGTGCCACCAAGCAATTCCATGAATACATTCTCTTCAGTAGCCATTTGCCTTCTGAATTTTTTGAAGTGTTATTTGCTGTTGAATAGCTCCAGATTCAAATCGGCAATGTTTTGTGTGCATGCTTCCATATCTACAAAATCTGCTATGAAGAGCAAAGTTGCAAACTGACTCCAAAAATACTTCCAAAATTGCTGTCAAGTATGAAAAAGGAGGAAAGGATTTTTCTTTCTGTGTTTCTCCACAGAGACTTGACAGGGAGCGGAGCCTTGTTTCAGTGACTTTCCAGTGAAATACCCCTTGGGAATGTGTCTAGACTAAATAGCAGGCTGTGGGGTGGGGGCGGCGGGGTCAGATTATGTGCTGTGGGTGAGTGGTGGGTTCAGGGCACTGGGACAAAGGCTTTTCTCCTTGTTAAAACAAAGTAATAAGATAAGATCTTTGTCAGGCAAGGACTAGATAGCAGCAGTGTTCCCCTCGTTACATTTTTACTACACTGTCCCAGAACGAAGTAAAATGCTTCTTAACTGAGTGAGGCCAAGTCCTTCAAATGAGTCCGTTGCTGTGCATGCTGTGTCAGTATGAGCTTCATGCCATTGCAGAGGAGATAATTTTTTTTTGAGAGGCAGAATTTTTGCTATTCCCCAATGAGAGTAGCTGAGGTTTAGATTAATATGCACTCTCTCTGTCCTTTTTTTCCATTAAGTCTCAGACATTGCTAAATTCATTCTTCTCTTAGTGATCCAGCAGGTTTGGGATTTGATTTTTGTTTTGTATTAAAATAAAGCATTTAAAAGAGAGATTTTTAAAAACGATACGGTATGAAGATTCTGTGAAGTCATGTTTGCTGAAATGTGAACTTAAAAAATGCTAAACGATCTTGCTTTTTATTTAAAGGTCTATCAGAACAACTAAACCCTCAGAAAATACAGTCATTATTGGTGTAGTTCGAAGGTAAATACTCATATCTTTACTTGCACATGTAATGAACAAAATGTAAATCTTATCACTGTAAAAGCAAATACTACATTCGAAATTTTATGTTAGAACATCTTACTGTGCTAGTGACAGATGATTTTCACCATCCTTGGCCACGGGACAGGGACAGGATTTTTGATTTCTACTTTTTACTAAATAGGTCACACTTTACTACTTTTTTTTTCCCCTACTGCTCACTGGGGGTTTTAAGAGCATGATTCAGACAACCTCCACAACACCATGTTCTGACCTGTGAAACTGCCTCATAGATTTATATTTTGGTATTCATGGAAATAACTCTTTGAACCTTTCTGGATTTGTCTTCCAATCTGATTCATCTGAGCACAAACAGATCTGCTGATCTGCAAAAGACTATGGTACAAGAATTTGATCAGTATTAAGTAGCATCTGAGCTTAGAGGTTTTAACAATAAAGTAAAATAGACTATATTATGATATGTCAGTAGAGTAGTGCATGTGTTTTTCCTCTTCCTCCTCCCACTGAAAATGTAGCCTTTACATCATAAAATGATATAAAAGTAATAAAAAATGCATTAAAGTTACTTTGAAATGAAATAAAATGACTCAAAATAATTTCCTCAAAGGACAGTTTACAACATTTCTGTTTCTTAGAAAATATTTATTTTGAAAACCAATTCTGAGATGTTAAAATTTCCCATTAAAAATCCTGTTTTCTACCGCCATCGTGCAAAAGATCCTAACTAAACATTTCAAGGAATTCCATTGTGAATATGATCTTTATCATTTTTATGTCAGAAAGTCTTGTGACTATGGTAGCGGTTACTTCCACAGCCAGAATTGTGTCTCGTCAAAGTAATACAAAAGACAAGAGGGGAAGAAGGAGCAGGGGAGAAAGAGCAAACAGTAGGTCAGAAGCTTCTTGATGTACATCTGAGAGGAGGACATGGGATGGCCTGCTTCTGTGGGCCAGCGATTTGTTTTTAAAAGTTGGGAGAAATTGGAAGCTGGGCATGCCAACTCTCAATTAAGAAGTTGCTCCAAAGGGGTTTTCCCCTGCAATTCATTTTGACTTTTCAAAATGTTCACGCTGAGTGTTGGGACAAGATAATAGCTCCCTGTGATACCACAATCTCGTAAGCTTGAACTCTCAAACTTTTCAGACTTACCTAGTAGCCTTCTCCAGGAGAAAGTTCAGAAGTAAATTTGCCTTTCCCTGGGACTAACTGAGTTTTTGCTGAGAGATGCACTCCAGGGCTGTGCCACTTTAGCCATCTTAAGATGGCTAACATGTATTAGCTAGTTCACCTTAAAAACATAATGGAGATTCAGTGTATTATTAGGTAAATTAGATAGGGTCAAGTATGGAGAGAACAGGTAGGAGGTTAGACTGCCGATTGGGTCAAGTCCCATGCGCTCTGCAGAGGGGCTCTCCAGTTCCCGTTCAGGATTTCACAGAGAGCGCACTTTCACACATTTCCCTGCAAGAAGCATATTTGTGGAAAAGCCTAACATTTAGCCAATACCATATGGAGGTTCTTCTCTGTGGGGATTATCTTCTTTCATTTCCTGCTGTTCAGTTTGTTGGGGCTTTTTTTTCCCCCTACAGCATCCTCTGTGTCCTCTGTACTTCTGTACAGTGTCCTCTGTACTTCTAGGAGGCAGTATTACCAGATAGTTGACATGAGGAAGGGGGATACTTTTCTAACAGCTGCCCTTGTCTCTCTGCCTGATCTTGCACAAACCTTGTGCTTGACTAGGCATCAGTCTGTTAATGCATGAGAAACAGTTGCATGGAAAACAAAAACAAGAGGGGTTATAAGATCTGAAAATTAAATTGTAAATAAAAGCTATGGTGCCATCTGCTAAACTTGATCAGCTTCCATCTGCTTATTTACAGAAATTTAATATAATGACCTTGCTTCCAGGTTCCATGTGTACGTTCACATATGTTGGAGTGTCTTTTAACAGTTAGAATAGCCAAATTTGCCAAAATGATTCAGGTGCCTTGTTTTAGAGAATGTCATCACGAAGTAGCCTAGTAGAAAGCACTGGGTAGTCAACACTAGAAAATACATCCTCATTCAAGCATCTTGAGTTGCCCACCTAAGGTTTGGTACACTCAGATAACAAGTCATTTGTTAAAAGTTTGGCCTTTGACTTTGAAGTGCATCTTTAACTAAGGACAACATAAACAACAAAGAATCCAGTAAAGAAAATGAAAGAATAGTCCAGCAGTCTAGCTAATTAATTTTTTTTCTTCAAACATTATTTTTGGGATGCAAGAAGCTGATTATTTGCAAATAGAAAAATGTTGACTTAATCTATGCAAAAAATGTAGGTCTTTAAAAAACACAAAATATATATTTTATCCATAGTAGCAATATTATGTGGTGTATTTGTTTGCTCTGATCCAAAAAGGATCTAGCCATATGAGCGTTTAGTATGCATGCCTGGTACAGGCATGTCAAAGGCTTCTGAAATTGGGTCTGAACTGATTATAAAATAGCTTTATCATCCTTCTTTAAAAGGCATGGTGATCGTGAAGAGTCATCAATATTGCCCCTGATCTCTGCTGGCTTCACAAGGGTATGTGTGTTTTATAATCCACTAGATTGCTCTGATATTCCAGAACTGTCGTGCAAGAAACTCAGAAGTTTGGTTTTCAGTGATCATTTGTGTCAGTAATCAAAGCTGTAAATCCTCTTGTTTATGCTGCCCATTGTTACTTATTTCCCAGTTTCCGACACCGGTAGAAATAAAGTAATGCTGACTAAGGAGGCAGAAATTCTCGGGAATATAAGAAATGGTATTCAGATGCTTCTACGTTACATATTTATTTCGAAAGAAGTATATGATGCATTAAGTCTTTGCTTTAAAAAGAGATCGTAGACAGTGGCAAGATTGAATAGTTACGGTAGCAGAGCCAAAGAGTAGCTTGCAATGAACAACAGAATGTGCTGTGGGAAATCTCTTCTATCAATTGCCAATTCACATCTGTAAACAGACTTCAGACGTTGTCAAGTGCTGTTATCTATTGTTTGGAGTCACCTGCAAAGTATTACAGTGAGTCTGCTTCTTGGCAACTATTCCAATTAAGCAGGAAAGGTGCTTATTAGTGCATCCGTTAAGTGGATTCCTCATTGCATTAAAAGCTGACAATGGGGAAACAAGGTGCATGATTTACAGTGTGATTCAGAGTGTTTTGGTGCATGCTCACCAGATTGTTTGCTATCCCATCACAGTCCTTTTTGCACCCATTTGCTTATTTGTAGTAAGGTCCTAATGCAGGAATTGCTGAAGCCTGAAAATAATTGTACTTATCCATAAAGAGTCATTTCAGTGGGCATATAACTAAATAATTTAGAACTTGTGTCAAGTTACTTAAGAGGTTTGGAGATGGGACTAATGACAAAGCATAGAAAATTTTATTTAGCAGTCTTGATGTGATGGCTTACCTTTGATAGTCACCCCCCCTCCCAAACTACCAATGTCCGTGGCAGTTTAGCATGAGCAAAGATTTAACATGCAAGCTGCTTCCTAGTAAAAATGAAGCAAGTGTATTTCAAAAACGTATTTGAGAAGATATTGAGGTCAGTGCTGCTGAGCTTCTTATACAAGGCCCAGAATGAATAACCGTGTCCAATAGCAAATATATTTGTCAGGAAGTTGTGCCACCTTCTATCTATACAGCTTGGAGTACTAGCAATTTGAAACTCATAAAAATCTCAACTGTTATGACTTGAGACAAACATAATTTTTAATTGTTATTTTAAATAAGTAATAAGAAAGCATATAGCTTCATTCAAAGTAGTATATCTTGTCTATTAATCATGCTGGCAGTTGCACAAACTCAACGGTTGGTTGTACCTCATTGCTATGCCTTCTTTTATGTCAATTTTTCAAAATGCAATATCCTGAAGACTTTTACTAGTCCCCAGAAATAACCTTCTCAAACTGCTTACATTACATGTTCATTTTTGGCCTACCTACTGCTTTTCAGTTCTCTAACAAGCAAAAGAAAACAGCCTTATACCCTTGCGTACAGAAATGTGTATTAATGAAATACCTCTAACCTTTTATTTACAGAGATATGTAGAAAATTCTAATATAATGGCCTGTTACAATGAGTTGATTCAGCTGGAATTTGGAGAGGTGCGGGCACAATTCAAGCTGAGGTAATTTTACCAAAAACATCAATAACAAAAAATGCCAATTCAGACACATCTTTAAAATAATACTTACTTTACTGTACACTAGTTAATTATAAAATGTCATTTAGCTAAAGAAATATGTTAATCGTTAAGTACAGAATGGAGTTACAATAACTTGTTATCATATAAAATAAGGATTATGTGGATTAAAACTAACCAGAGGTCTTTTTTTTTTATTATTTTTATACAGGGCTTGTAATTCATTATTTACAGCATTAGAGAAAAGTCAAGAAGCCATTGAGATCACAAGTGAAGACCATGTAATACAGGTTTGTTCCAGTTATTTTTATAAGTGAGAAAATTGCTCTGTGGGCTGACTGTATTTTATTTCATCCACAATTACACTTACTCTTTCTTATGGTACAAGAGTCGAACCTAACCTAATGGTTCTAAAGAGATTGGAATGAATTTAGGTGCAGAGTAGAATTTCTTCCATTTAAAATATCTTGCATAAACCAAAGTCAATTTTAAAGGAAAACATTTTCTCTGAAACAATAAAAATTACCCCCTTGTTTTTAATTTTTGTAGTGATTCTTTTATAACATGAATGAATGCAGCCACTGGCTTGCATGCATTCTTTTACAAAAAATATTATATGCTAGTATGATGCTCTTGAGAACCAAATCAAATTAGTGCTCTGTTTAAATAAAGGTAGGACATCGTTTTTACATTAATCTGATACTGTTCGATTCATCATGATTTTTGGTCCAACTGTTTTTGAATCTAATCCTCTTTTTAAAATTTCTTTTAAAAATTTCTTTTAAAAAGACCTAAACTGTGTTTAAGTTTTCAGTCCTGAAAAACGTCATCTTTATTAGGGAGCTAGTTCCATCCTTAGCTACAAAGACTGTGAGGGGTGACTTTATTATCAGCAAAGAGCTTGAGTCTAAGTCTCTGGAAGTTATAATGTGCATATGAATTGTAGCTTCTTGACCCAAATCTTGACAGTGGCATTTTCTTTGAAGGATATGCCTTCTACATCCCTTTTAAAAAAATAACGTAACTTGTCCGGAAGTTGTCTGGAGCTATATTTTTTTCAGATGAAATGTTGCCCCTCCACAGATAGCCCCAGAATAGAACCAAGGTGTGGAAGAGTCCTGGAGCTCCAGCAGGCCCAGCTTTCTTCCTTGTAGGGTAGAGGGGAAACTTCAGGAGCAGAGAGCATCCAGTGGCACCCTTTTCATTTCTGTCACATTGAAACATTACAGGTTGAGGCATTCAGATGTTATTCTGGGACACCTGTCTGTAACTCAGTTAGTGAGAGGGACATTAAGGTGTGGGATATAGGTACCAGCCTTCAGCTTTGTCGGGCAAGAGCCACAAAAATGTGACATTGCGGTCGCATAGATTCCACTTCTCCCAGTCTGTTTGGCTGGGCTTTGCCTGGACAGAGGAATGGTGGTGGCTGGCCCTTATGTGCAGGAAGACAAAGAATTTAATCAATGGTTAAGGCTAATATTCCTGTGGAATCCCATCATTTAAGTTGTGTTTTTTAGGAACACTGAGGTAGGTTTGAGGTTTCTAGGTTTGAGAACTGAAAGCTCATTTCTCGGGAGTTGTCTGTCATAACCCTGTGGGTATGTAATACTCAGCTCTCCATAATTTCCTTCTCTCTGCTCACATGCGTAGACTCTCTGCAGGACTGCTACCTCCTAGCATGGACGTTTCTGTTTTGCTTCACAAAGCAAAATCGCTTAGGCCTCTCTTTTAGGAGTAATACCTACAGAGATTTAGCTCAGGTTGGGAAACAGGCCTCCAGGTTTATCAAACAGGAGTTCTATTGTACTTGAAGTATTCTGTTGAATGTTTTTTATTTTTATTTCACAGTACGTCAATCCTGCTTTTGAAACAGTGATGGGCTATCAAATAGGTGAATTAATAGGAAAGGAATTAACAGAAGTGCCTATAAATGAAAAAAAAGCTGATTTCCTAGATACTATTAATTCCTGCATAAAGATAGGAAAGGTGAGTAATGGCATTGTCTCACTTATAATTTGCTACCTGTAAAGTTATCATTGTCCAGAGATGACACACGACACAACTTCTGGCTTCACAGGCATGTAGCATGTGCAGCTTTCTTACTCAGACAAGAAGAGGAAGTCAAAAATGCTTGTTTTTAAGGGCTTCTTCCTCTTCAGTTGCTTGGAAAAGCTGTGCGTTTCTTGAAAATAAGTGACTTACTGTGTTTATCACATATGTTGTATGTAGCAAAAAGTGTGTGAGATGCAAATGATAAATGAATCATGTTGAAATATTTGAGCATGAAATGTGGAAGCTGATTCGCAAGTTCAGAACGTGAAAACACCAGAAGAGATATTTGCAGTATCACTTGAGCGTGATAGGCAGTGTCAGCTGCCAGCGTCTTTTACTTTCTAATGGCATAGGAGTTCTCTAATGGATTTCCATTAGAAACATTTCCTGCACCAAGAAAGTGCATGAGAAAGTGCAGCTGGCTTCAAGGGAGGTCACTACCGAGGCACCACAGTTTGCCTGGTAGCTCTGTGATGTTCCTTTGGGAGTGTTGTGGAACCAGCGTGAGGATGCATCTAGGAGCTTTCATTTGTATCTTAACAACAAAGTGTAAATGCTTCTGATGTCACCGAACGTATGTGTCATCGTACCCCTATAGGAAGATAGATCATGAAGGTAACATAAAGCAATTTGGGAGCTGATGTGTTTGTAGATGCGTCATGGCCTATGCTCAGACCTGAGTCAGGATAGCTAATTGGGTCATAGTGACTGTCTGCTGGGAAGCACCATGTTATTGACACAGTGCAGGGAGATGCTCAAATGAATCATGGCACTCGGCGTATCCAGGCAGTGATGCAAAAGCAGCGATGCAAAGTTGTGATGAGTCATGCTGTGTAAATCAAGGTACTCAGGCAAGTATTTGTCAGGAAAAGCTGCGCTCCATCTGGGAACAGATTGTATGTGCATTTCAACATGAGTGTGTCAAGCATTTGTACCTGTATTGGCCTTTTGGAAGAGATCCAAGCAATATACAATAGCTTGGATTATGATGCTTCACACCTCTGTTGCCAGACTGAAAGTTTATTTCTGTAAATGTGTATAATACAAAGCTGATGTTATGATGGAGTATTTATTAAGTTATAATTCAAATACATTACGCATGTCAGACTTTAAAAGCACAACATCAGTTCTCCAGATATGAAGTGATCAATTTTTTTAGTATTTTAGTGTGATGATAAACATGTGTATAATAACAAAAAGATGGTTTAGTTTATGAATGATAGAAATTAACCCTAATCCATCACTTCCCTTGCACCATATTTTACTCCTGGCTCTAGAGCTTCCAATTGTGAAGGCTAATTAAATATTACTTCTTAAAACCTGTCTGAAACAGTTTGAACTGTTTTAAGTGGGTAGTTCTGTTTGCATGTTTTTTTTTATTTCCTGTTGGAACGTTTTATAGTATGCAATCTGTGTAGCCTCATATTTACATATTAATAGAAAAATGAATTACAAATGAAATTCTTACACCAAAGTATTTGCAGGTCCAGTTTTATTGTGTGGAGTATTTGAAATACTCCAGCCCTCTGAAGGTGCTTTCGTTTTAGATGATTTGTGTCAAGATGTTACAGCATTTTCTGAGGTGCCTAACTTGAGTCTGGATGATTCTGACTTGCTCTGTGTGTTGTTTTGACACTTGTGATTTCTTGATGTCCTGAATGTAAAAAACTGCCTCCCATTAGAAATCAACTATGTATTGGTTACAGTAGGTTATAACATACCAAAAAAGCCAGCTATGTCCTGTGATATTCTCCTTTGCACGAGTTTGGCTTTTCTGGTTTGAACAAACATGTCGAATAACAAAAATAATGCAAAGTATGATTTTCCAATTTTTAATAAAACTGATCTTTGGAAAGTCTGCATCTCTTCTTAAAGTGGAATTTAGGAAGGTGAACTCTTGCAGTATTTCCCTTCTTGTGCTGACAAACATGCAAACAAAAGTTGACAGGCATTATGCTCCAAAGTTACTAATCGTGTGGTGCATAGTGATTCTTGGCTCAGCATGTTCTTTCTCTTGGCAAAAAAAAAAAATCTCTGGAAGTTCACTTTTTGTTCCTCTAGCTGGCTATAATTTGCAAGAAGCCATAATTACAGAAAGGCATTTTCACCAGTCCATACTTGAGGAGTTAAGAAACAGGTTACAGTTTCTTCATTCTTTTGTTTCATGACTCAAATTACATCCATTAAGATGAAATATGCAATTCGGTTTCTCTCTGACTAGAATTCTTGCCGCCTCTGATCTCTACAGTTTGACACAAAGCTCTTTATCTTGGTTTCACTTCTTCTACAGTGAGACAGATAGCTATCAATAAATCAGACAAGACACACAATTCCTCTCACTTGTTGGGAATTATTTGTGAGATATCTGTATAGAGGAAGTGGGAGGGCGATCAAGCTCTGTGATAAAGGTCCATGGCAATTCCTTCCTAGACTTTCTCTTTTTTTTTCTTTTTTTTCACAGAAAGTTACTTTCTGTGACATTGTTTTCCTGATATCTATTTATTTTCTTTCGCTCTGTTTTCTGCAAGTAGCTCACTGAACTTTGCTGTCAAGTGCAAGGATCCCCCAATCTAAAAGGAAGGCTGAACCGAGGTGTTACTCACTATGCATGAAGGAATCATTTCAGGGGGTAGATGCAAGCCATGGCCTTCTGAATGCAGCCTTGCACCTCAATATTAATTTCTAGGTTGCTGTATAAAGGCTGGAAGAGATTTTTTACTTTCTGTGTGAGATTCTTAGGCTGCGTTTGATCCTAGCACACCAGGTCACGCAGAAGTGCCTGAGCGCTGTATTTGTGTGGCTGTAATGTAGTCATACAAACAAGCTTGACTGAAGGCATGTCTTGAGAGGCAGCTCGTCTCCGTTGGATTTCTGACAGAGGCTCTGTGAGAGAGCATATGGTGTTCTTAAAATATGTTTAAGTAATGTCTCCTGTGAGCAGGAGTTTGGCTTGGACCTCCTATTTTTCAGAAGTCTCCTGACCTTTTTCCTCACACGTTTCCTGCCACAGTTTCATGGGTTTTAGAAATTCACAAGTTGAAAAGTCTGTCTGATGACTATGAAGAACATGTTAGTGAATAACTCTAACCTGTCTCGAACAGGGTGCACTCTCAGTGCTAGAATTATCCAGCCTCTACCTTAGGGCTTCATCCCTGTGTGCATATTCTGGGTTTATTACCTGGGTGCAGAGATTGATTACTCATCTCTGCCTCGTCCTGGTTGTCAGGAAACTATTGATATGCATACTTTTAATTATGAGAGCATTGAATTTTGTGGTGTTTGCTTTGTCCTCATTTATATTCCTCATGCAGCTCACAGGAGAAGATATTATGTCTGTTTCCAAATTTGTTATGCTCAGTTCTTTCCTGTGACAGATCCTTGGAAAAGCCTTTCATGTCTTTTTCTGCACAGCCTGTCACCGTGCTGCTCTCTGTGGGCAGCAGTCTTTATTTGTTGGCTCCATTAGAATAAATGCAAAACTGTTCTCTCTGTACCTGTGCTTTCGCCTGTTTGACTGTGAAATCTGTCAGTCTAACACAGATATGTCTGTATCATGTGCCTCGTGAGGGTATTTTCACATATATTTATAAGATCTGATCCAAAGCTTGTTGAACTCAACTGGAAGACAACAATTTACTTGGTTAAACTTTGCGTTAAGTGCATATGCAATATGGGGTCAATTAATTGTTAATCATTTGGTACTTATTAGATGACCAGATGAAAATTTGCAGCCATTTAAAAAACACGCCAACAGCTATTCTAGGGATGGAGATCTGTGTAGGCAAGACTGTAAATCTTACCAACGGTCAGGTTACACAGACTGCTGCTGTTAGAAGGTCACTGGCTTCTGCGCTGCTGCCAGAAATGAAAGGAGGAGACCTAGGTAGGGTTCCCAAACTTGCTTCCCCTGAATGTTCCTTAATATCCCCATGGAGAGGCAGCTCCTGACCACACACAAGGGGAGACGCAGGGAAGCCAGTCAGCGTTGAGGCATTTCTGGCTGTGGGACGTTGTACTGCCGTGTGCAAGGGCAGCTGGGGTGACTGGTGAGAGAAGCAGCGGGGTGGTGAGGGGACTGAGAGAGAGCAAGAGCTAAGGAGGGAAAAAGTTTGCTGAAGCCACCCCTAGGTGTGTCTGCTTGTGCCAGCCTGGCAGCTCTGCCGCTTGGCAGGAAGGGCTGCGGGCCCTGCTGCAGGGCCGTGGTGGTGGTGGACTGGATGTTAGAGCGTGGTGGTGCCTTCTGGCTTCAAAATCTCTAAATAACAAAAGTTATTGTTTTAACTATTTCATTTAAAAGCATGACTTGAACAAGGCGGAAAGAGCCATTTTGCGTCTCACTGAAAGAGAAAACAAGGCTTTGGAGTAAGTTATGTTCTGCACTAGAAATGGCTCATTCCTAGAGAAAAAAGTTACTTCATGCTGAAAAATAAGAAATTCCTTCCCATTCTGCCTTTTTCTTTTTCCATTTGTGAATTTTATCAAAATAAAATGATGTTGGTAGTGAAAATCTGGTACTGTAAAAATCTTCTACCCATACATGGTCCTCAGGCCAGTGTCCCTAAGTAGGATGAACCCTGTTGGAGAGGAGAGCAGCCGGCAGGAGGCAGAATCCAGCGACTGTTCTGCTAGGCTCTGCCTTGTCTAAAAGATGCCGGGATAGATGCCTGTTGTGGATGCCTGTTGTGGCTTGAGACCGAACCACCCGTGCAGCTAGCAAAAGGGCTCGCATACCAGAGCACTTCTAGTCACACATATATTTCATGATAGGGAGTGATGTGACTTCCCAGCAAGGCGGGAGACGGTGCAGGCTGGAGCGAAGCCGGGCAGGTCAGCCTCACAGTTTCTCACACGACCTCCCTGTCCCAGGGGAGATGGCGCAGTCGGGGGAAGGCAGGCCGGCTAGCGTGGCTGTCCCAGCTGTGTGGGGCACGTCCTGGACCAAGCTGCAGGGTCGCCCCACCGTGAGAACCTGCAGGCGCTGCTGGAGCCTCTCCACGGCCCTTGCTCCAGACAGGAGCTGGTGCCAGCTCTTACTCTCTCATCGGGTCTCTTGCTGCGTCCCCCTGGCACCCCGTCAGGCAGAGAACAGGGAGCGAATACACATTTCCAATGGGCTCACACTCCTGTGGTGCCCGAGGCTTGGCTGTCGCTGTCGGGGCGCTCGCAGCCTGCCCCTCTGGGCAGTTCCCCGAGCATTGGCAGTGACACAGCAGTTAACCCTAGTTAAGTAGGCCCCTAGTTATAAGGGAGCAGTTTGAGGCTGAGCACAGTTTAACCAGTCCCAACTGTTTGCCAAACTACCACAATCCCTCCTTTCCACGCTGCACCATCATCCTGCCTGGTGAAGATGACCCCCCCATGCTGTGGGCTCTCCGAAGCACGTGCTGTGCACAGCTTCAGGCTCGGGAACGCTGCTTGGTGCAACTGCAAAGGTCCAAAGCCAGTGTCCTTTCATTTGCTGGTAGGTTTGTTGGAACTGGAAGGATGACCACTCTGTGTAAGCACAACAACATATTTCTCAAATTTTCTGCTACTGTTTATATAATTATGTGGAATTTAAATTATTTGGTTTTATAAATAAAATGCCAGGCTGGCAGGAAGACGTTTCTGAAGAAGTCTGTAGTGACCTCCAATTGGATTGAGGTAACACCTGAGCCAACATCACCTTCATTACATTGCTTCTTTTTGTCATACGTTCCTCTGACATGCTCCTTGCCTTTGAGACCCTTAAGAGTGAAACTTAGGCTTTGTATTGTAAGGCAGTGTTCAGTGAAAATAGGTATGAGGCTACAGTTTCTGTTTTTGTTTTATCTGACCTTTCCAAGGGTGCCAAATAAAGAAGAATGTACAGAAAGCCATGTTAGGTTTGTTGATTGCATGTTGAACTTCCTTCCCCTTGAATTTCTTTTGCAGGAATGGCAAGGAATGTACTATGCGAAAAAGAAAAATGGAGATAGCATACAGCAAAATGTGAAGATAATACCTGTCATTGGACAGGGAGGGTAAGTATGAAAGCTAAAGCTGTGATTTAGCTTTGATTCAAGGCTCAGTTTAGTTCAAGTTCAATTGCTTTCAGCAGGCATTGGATTATCCTGTTACTGAATAAAAAGAAAACTTATGCAAAGAGGGGAAGACTCAGACCTCTGGATTTAATTCCTTGGGGCAAAATCAACTTTACATGCTGTTTACAAGGAATTCTGCTAATTCTCTCCAAAAAGGAAACTAAAAATACAGATGTGCTGGCTTGTACTATTATTCTTACCTATGTCCTGCTCCACTGTTCACCCGTAATGCTGACCTACTCAAGGCTGTTGTAAAGCGTCCTTCTGTAATGAGGATACTATGTGCTTTCATCCTAATTAAAATTCACCTGCAAAGAGCTCCTCCTGTTCAAGCATGCCTTGATTTTTGTGTAGCTTTCACTTGGTCCCTGAACAGAGCATTTAGAGCACACTGGTATACGTTAGCTATGGGTACGTTTATAATAAGACCTCTAGTACAACGTTAGGAAAGAAAGTGGATCAGATTGCATGCAGCTGCAGTTTCAAAACCCTCTAAGCAACATGTGCATTATTTAAAAGAACTGGGCATTAGCTTCCAAAATCCCCTCTACAGTGTATGTTCCTTGGCTGAGACATTTGTTTAGAAAGACGTGTCTTGTCATAAGGGAAAGGCTGAATGCAGCTTCTTTGTGCAGTTGCTTACTTTAAAAGAGGGAATGCAGTTTTTAATTAGCAGAAGCATGGTGTTTTAAGTTGATTTCATCCCTTGGAAGTAACTCATGTTCTCTGCATTAGTAGAGTGAAAACATCTTTTCAGCTTAAGATGCCAAACCAGTAAGAGCAGTATGTATTACATACACTGTTACTTGGGGAGAAATCTAAGCCCATTTGAAGCTGGGTTAGAAAGTTTTCTGGTAATCAAGGCTGCAGTTTGCAGTCTGACTGCTCTATCCCTAAATCCTACAGAAGATTTGGGTTGTTAGATCTGCACTGTTGCATGTTTCTCAGTTATATCATTCCCGAAATATCCTATAGTAGCCCAGAAGAAGCGGGGGGGGGAGAGGGCGGGGAGAAAGAGGAAGGAACAGTCTTTGCAAAAAATGCTTCCATTCTGTCTTCCCCATCCTGTGCAGCAGAACTGTGGGTTTTTTTCCATTCCCTCTTGAGCCTTCCTGCCAGAACAGGATTTGTCCTATATCGATTTGTTGTCACTACCCATTTTGTATATCGGCACTGAATCAGAGTTGGGATTTGGATGGGAATTAACACATTGTTTTTTGCCTACAGAAAGATTAGACACTATGTGTCAATTAGTAGACTGTGCAATGACAACAATAAGGTAAGTGAAAATGGTGATACGCTTCCTTTAGTTTGAGCCCTAAATATTACAAGGTAATGGGAAAATTCTGACTAACTGAATTTCTTATACTGATTTGTAGGCAGAAAAAACATGTGAACGTGTTCAGGCTGAATCTCAGACAGGTATGACACATCTCGTTTGTTATAAGAAGTGGAGGCTGTACCTGCGGAAAGATGAAGCAAGTTGCTAGTTATCTGGCTGAAAAGCACTGATTGCACAAGACAATCAGAAAATAATATTTAGTTAGCAATAATCTATGAATCCAGTTTAGAAGGTGGCAAAATAGATGGAAGCTCTCTGTCCCTGCCTGATTTGTTTTAGAAGTGATATAAAGCAACCTAACCTTAAAAATGCTGCATTAGGGCCCCAAGTTCATATTGTGCTGGGTTCAGTGTCACATTCAGTTGTAGGTAGTAGATCCCTATGACAAAATTAGAAATGTTAAGGACACTACCTATTCAGAATGTTGTTAAGGCTGGTCTATAGCTAGTGGCAGGTATGTTTGCATTGCTTTTAACTGTATTGTGGGATATTTGCCTGTGGGAGGAAATGAGGATGCCCAACACTACTGTTATCCTTGTCCCACATATGAACTCTGCAGCTGAGACTTCTTTGTCATCCATGCAGCAGGTACTTGTTAACTGTAGTCTTGGTAGTGCAGGTTATGCCTGCTGGAGCCTATAAGGGATGCAGAATACCTTGCCTCGTTTGCTAGTGTACAGTTTACTCTGGGCCACCAATTCTCCGTGGCAGTTGTTACTCGAGTAAACTCAGGTATGTTGCACAAGTTGTATCCACAACTACAGCTGCACTGTGCTGAGAGAGGAGCTTTTCCCTCCAAACTCTGTTAGTTCCCCTCTGTAAAACCATTTTTAGGTTTGCTTTGCCAGAGATTATGATCAGGTTCATGACAGCGTCAGTGGGCAAGAATTTCAGAAGCAGCTTTCGTTGGCTCTCATCTGCTGAAGCGCTGTGGTGAATGTCACTCAGCTGCTATCAGCCTTTCTCTGAGTTTCCGTTCCTTTAACATACGTATTAGGCAGAGGTTACGTCATTGTTGTACAATATCATTTTCTCCACAGATATTCAGACTTGCAGACACAAAGACAGGAGGAAAGGATCACTAGATGTCAGATCCACAACCTCACGAGGGAGTGATGGTATGTTAAATATGCAGATTTTTTTTTATTTCTGTATGTATACATTTTTATGTACATGCATATATATGCATATGGATAAGCATGTATGTGTATATATATACACGTGCACACATGCTGATATAATTTCAAGTCATCAGTCTATGAATGACTTTACATTTGTGGAACAACTCCATTTTATTCTCTTGAACTTTGAATCCTTTTTTGTAACAGTGAAGAAAGAATGGCTTCGTCTACCATCCTACATGGGTAATTTCATGCAATTCAGCAGAGATCCTTTCAAGTACAAATGGCAAGCTGTAATCCTAACAAAGTATTACATTCTTCACCTCTTTTCTCGATAAAGATCTGAAGTTAATTTTCTTAACACTTTGTTTTCTTTTCAGTGTGTTGTATTGTGCTTCATTATATCACCCCAGACTTGATAGGTCAGTCGCAAATGGGAAAGTTTTGCCAATACTTACATGGTTTTGTTAACGCATACATCAGTGCAATCTGGGCAGCAGGCACTGGTGAAACATGGAAGTAGGTCTGTAGCGGAGAGAATACAATCATGCCCCAGTGTGACAAAAATAGCATTGATTTTTTTTTCTTAAGAGACGCTCAGCACGAAGAGTAACAGAAGCGTGTCTGTTTTTTATAGGTAACACAACATTCAGCAAAATCCCATTTTGGCCTTTTCTGTACGGAAACTAAATCCATACAGAATTACGGATTGTTTTTCAATTTCCAATGAATAATAGGCCAGAACCTCTGCTATTTTAATTTGGCATAGCTATCCTCACTTCAAAGGATCTTCACTGATTTACCTCAGCTTGGAAGCTGATTCATACTGACTTGTCATGTTGGTGCATCAGCCAGCAAAAGTGTATGTATTCTATAAAAACCTAAGTGTAATCTACCTGTGCCTGCCAGTTTACACACACACATACACGCGGGCGCATACACACACACTCCCCTGCATAGTCTTTATATGAATATTTCATTAAATATTTTATTTACTTCAAATACAAAAACAAAGCCATGATCTTGCCAGGCTGTTACAGCTACTTATCTCTCTTCTGGGGTAGCAGTGGTTCAGCAAGCATCTCTTTGCACCTATGTGTTACCGGCATAGCAAGCATGTGTATACGTTCTGCACTCTATCAGTTTTGAAGGGCACAACAGTGTAAGCAGTTCAGAAAAATTAATCCACAAGTCTTGGCTGACTCCTTATGTCATGCTTTGTCGTTGAAATCAGGATACTGATTCTGCTTTGTTTTCCCCACAGGCAGCTCACAACGGCGGCACTCTTCTATGGCCAGGATACATTCCATGACTATTGAAGCACCTATCACCAAGGTAACGTGTGACTGTTGCTGGCCATTGTCAGTCCTGCTGTACTGGAACATTGTAGCACAGCCTTCAGTACTGCATCCAGACTTGAGGAGCAAGGCAGTGCTGCGCACTAGTGCAGCTTCTCCCATTCCACCTGCTCACTGGTGGAGCTCCAAAAAACCAGATGCTGCGGGCCCCGTTCTCCCAGGCCTGCTTAGCAGAGTGCCTCCCTGTGATCAGCCATTGCACAGCTCCTTTTAAGGACCCCTGCCTGGGACTAGAGCTCGTCCTCTTTACTTAGGCATTGCAAGCTGTTTTCTGAAACCATGCAAGGGTATGGCAGAAATCAACTCTTTAATAAACTGACAGAGAAATGTGGAAGGTTATACTAAATGCACTTGGAGACATTTTGAGGCTGTGCCTCGAACAGGAGAGTAACTAATAAAATTGCTGTCTCTAAGGCCATGATCCTGTTCCTAAAGTCAGTAGCAAACATCAGTGCTTTATTAATGTCCCTTTAGAGATTTCACTTTCGTTCTCCCACATATGAGTTAACGTTGTAGATCCCATTTAGTTGTCCATAATAGCGGATTAGAGTCTGTCCTTTCTTAAATCACTTCTAATCACTTCTAATTCAAAATGTGTCTGATGTTCACCTAGGTAATAAACATCATCAATGCTGCACAAGAAAGTAGTCCTATGCCAGTTGCAGAAGCTTTAGACCGAGTTTTGGAGATCTTAAGAACCACTGAGTTGTACTCTCCGCAACTGGGGACAAAAGATGAGGATCCACACACAAGTGACCTCGTTGGAGGATTAATGACAGTAAGTACATATTGCCACAAACAGCTGTTGATTGATATTTCATTGCCTGATAGTGGTAAGGTTTTCCAAGTTACCTGGTCTGTATCAGCTGACCTATGCTTTGCATCTAAAATACCAAATTTTCATTAAAAACTACGTACCTCTTTTTGGTTTTTTTTTTCCCACCATGCTGTTAAAGTAGCTCTGAAAATGGGAGGAAGTTGGCCAGTTCACTTGAAACATTAGTTTTGCTAGAACAGGGAAGGAAAAGTACTTCTTTTTTCAATATGATTCTGTTCAGAATGGTATAGATGGGAGAGGAAGAAAGACAGACAGCTAGCTGTTTATATTTATTAATTAGGGTTAGAATGGCATATGTTGGGGCTTTTCACTGTATAAAAAGAATGTATTTTCAAAAGAATGCAAAAATGCGAAGTACACTTTTGTTGCTACTTCTTTGGATGATATTAGTATTTGGAGACTAGAAAGATCCTTTGATCCTTAAGTCCTTTGAGCTAGGAGCATGAATGTCCACATATTAAGACACAGTCATGCTCCAAAGAACTTAATATTTAAATAAACAAAACAAGAAAAAGAGTGAAGAAAGCATGTATTATGTTACCACATTTTTAAAAGAGGAACAGAGACATTGAAAAAAGAAGTGATATACCCAAAGCTGAACAAAGGCCACGTAGCAAAGCAAAGAACTGAACCCAAACCTTCAAAGCCTGGAGTCTGGCTGTTCTCATGATAGCTAGATGAACTTGGATGAACGTTACTTGTGCCTTAGGGATATGTGTGCCTATTAGTAGTATGTTGCATCTAAAAGGTTACCTCAGGAAAAAATTTTGACTGTGTGTTGGATGCGAAAGGCTCACAAGATGTGAGCTTTTCAGAGATGTCTCTAGGCTAATATCATTTCATGATGGCTCCGATATAGCATCCACATTTACCCCTGCTATGCTTTGGCCACATAATATTGTTAGCAAGTTAGACAGATGCATTCAGAGTGATTTTTTTTAATAACTCTTTTTATACATCATGGGCTAACATTAATGTGCAGTAACTAACAATACGCACATCAAAAGAGCAAGCAGGATTTGGGCCACAGCTTTTAGAGTTATGAACTGAAAGGTAAGTATTAAATGTAGCATTCTGTTAGTTTTAATCCTTAGGCTCAGTCTGCACATCCAGGCATCATGCCAGAATTAAGCCGGGGAGGCGCTGACTTTGAGAATACACAAGCATACGTCCTTGTTTGATGGAAGGGAGGCCCCAGGGTAATTTGGTAATTTTGGTGCTCTGCAATCCTAGCAACAAATCACAAGCTCCTTGTACTGCTGAGGTGACCTGGTCTGCCAATACAGGGGAGAGGAGAGTACAAGCATATCTCCATCCATTCCCTGCCACCACCCACCTACCATTGTTGATGGGAAGTGAGCAGGCATATAGTGCCTGGTTTTTGGCACACACTCAGACCCGGTGTCTGTGTTGTCCACAGGTGGATGTGAGGCTGTAATTTCAGACCTCGGTCTGTGCCTGAGCAATTCCAGTTTGTACCTATCTGGGTTTACATTGTATCCTGTATCTTGCACTTTCTCATCCATTTTGAAGTACAATTAAAACAAGCACATCTTAACAGAGTGCACACAAATAAAGGTGAGGCAGCTTTGATGACTGTGACAGGTTTAATCAGGCTTCGGTAAAGTCATAGTGCTACTATTTGGCATTATCTTCTTATAGATCTTTTTGACAATACCCTACATTTAACTCTCACCTTTTATTGAACAGGATGGTTTACGACGATTATCAGGGAACGAATACATATTGTCAGCCAAACGTAAGTTTTAATTTGGAAGTTACTAAGATGTTAAAATATGAGAAGAAATTTGAGAAATGTGGGAAGTGTAATGAGATGTTCTTTTCTTAATAAGCATTGTTCATTTTTATTTTTCATTTGTAAGTATTGTTCTACCATTACCGAGCTTTACAGAAACAAGAGTTGCCAGGCATGATTACAGAAAAGAAAACATGTACATTTAGTAAAAGCGTACCTCAGGGTTATTAATGGTGATCTGCACATATATTCCTCGACAGAAACTCATCAGGTCGCTGGCAGTTTGATCTCTCCAATCTCCCTCAATGACATACCCCCACGGATAACAGAGGCAATGGAAAATGAAGAACACTGGGATTTTGATATCTTTGAACTTGAGGCTGCCACCCATAAAAGGTCAGTAAATGGGAAGGTTTATAAATTAAAGTTGCTGCAAATTGACTTAAATGTCATGCTGTAATCTCAGCTCTTTAATTTCACTACCTCTGTTTTTCAAATTGGAATTACTTTTATTTTCAAAGGCACGTGTCTGAAATTCTCTCAGTGTCCTATCTTTTTATGTATGAACCCATTATATACCTTCTCTTTCACCACACGCTGTTTTCAGCTGATTTCCAATGGATGTCAATGAAGACTAAATATCTTTGATATGGTGTAATAAAGGAACATCATTTTAAAAGCCTTTATTTTCTATTCTCTGTAAACGAAAAGTGCAAATCAAATTTGTGGGGATTCAAGTTCAAATTATGTCCAGCTGTGCACATAGTCGACGTGCTGCTGTTAATCTGATCAGCTGCATAGATCATGCTCTACTTTTTCTCCATATACTAGAATGAATTTTATCCTTAAACGTTCAGATATACCTTTTGGGCAGAATTCTCACTGCCTTTCTCTGGGATTGGAAGGAGGTCTTTATTCTAAGTCTTAGAAGGCTACATTTTATTTACAAGATTAACTGAGGACTATTTACTGTTTAGAGTGTACATTGCGGTTTTCAAAATCAGATCAGTAGTTTTGCTAGACATGCATGGCATTAGTAGCAAATTCTACCACTAAGTGTGTAAATTGATCTTTATGTTTAAATCCTTGGTTTTATTTGCTGATGCCTATCAAAAATTCTTCTTTGGATCTAGTTTCACATTTCATGCTAAAGCTTGTATGAGATCGTAATTTGGAGGCTAGCTCCTGTGATGAATGGACTATCTTAATCCCTCATCAAAATCCCAGATCCGTAACAAGAGCTTTGAAAGATATTTAAAAACTATATCTAAGCATTTAATTAACACCTATTCACTTCTATTTTAGATCTTGGTTTTATGAGCCAAATAAATTGGAAAACATTCAGATTTTTATTCTTCCTTAAAGTGATATAACTTTAGATTTTATTGTAAGTGAAGAAATTTACATCCAATCACTTTAGTTTTTAACTTTGCTACGTTGCCATTGCTAATGAAGCGTTATAGATACAGTCATTAAAAAAAAAGTATAATTTGTAACATTTAATATGCACGTTACAGTAACTTAAGAATAATTATCCCAGACAACATGCATGTGATCACCAGATAGGCTTCTCTGTCCTTAATGATTTGGAGAGACCACAGAGGGACAAAGGAGGTATTTGTTACCTATCCTCTTATTAAAGGTGTTATAATTAGGATTGCTTCCTGCTGTGCTTAAGTAAAGGCAATTCATTTATTAAAGGAATTAAAGTGATCTTCCGTGAATCACAACTATATATCACAATCAGACATATGGTAGTAAAGCCACAATAGTTCATTAAATCTAAGCTTCATGCAGCAGATGTGACAGTTCCCTGGCACAGAAACCTGGAGACACCTTTGTCTGGTAGTGCTATGTGGTATTAACACTCTAGCATTCAGGGAGTCTCCGCGGTAGTGTATTATACTGCTAGTACATGTTATATAGTATTGTTGAGTATTTTTGCCTAAAGATGTACATCCAACTCTGTACAACCTCTGCTAGCCCCATGAGGTGTAGCTGCAAATCTGAGTGCTTGACACATCTGGAATCGAGCTGCAAACTGAGATCCTTAAATATGGGTTTTCAATCCATTGTTAGGAATCCACATTGAAGATATTGACCACTGTACCAGTTCTCCTTAAGCAAACATGTATTGGACAAGAAAATAGCAGTATTAACTGGGTTCAAGCAAAAGCTAGTGGACTTAAAATTGATTTTTTTTCTTTTGCTCTGTTAAACATATTGCACATTCACAGCTTTCACATTAGAAATACTTCATACCCACTATTCGGATGCTCATTCATCGTCCAGTCATCTGGTTTTAAGTTGTGTAGTTTGGCCTGCAAGAAGCAATAGTACTGGATACCTTTGGAGACACTGGTCTGCTACTGGGTCAGCCTGAAAGTCCATTTAGCTGCATATAGCCCTCCTATAAACGCTGTGGTCAGCGCTAGTTTTCACTTGCTTTCAAATTACCTCCATTACACTGCCAGTGTGGCAACATCACCAGTGTTAGCAGGAGTGAGAATTTTGATATAAGCAAAAAGTGCATCAGCATACCAATGGAGCAGGTCTGCAGTGCAGCAAGAGTAGTGATTGCAGCATTATATAGTATGGATATACTCTAGTTAGCTGTAAACAAGCTAGTTTGGGAAACTGTGTCAGCAGCAGGGAGATCACCTCTCTCCACTCACACACAGTGTTCAGTTCATGCTAATTTATCTAATTTTGACTGCAGTCTACATTTACCCAAAGTAGACTCCCCAAGTCCCAAAATGCTGCTACCTGTAGTATAGCAGCCATATAATAATAAACAGCAGCCTGTTTAGTGTTCCTGGAAGTGGCAGGAAGTGGCAGATTCTGATTGCTTGCATGTTGTAATTAGGTAGACATTTTCTACAGATCTGGATTGTAATTCTGTAGCAATTAAATCCCTATACCTAATCTGACATGCCACTGGTTAAAAATGCTGTATAGAGTCATACTATTTACAGTATCTAGTATTCTTTCAACCTCATTGTTAAACTTTGTGTTATTTTTCTCTGCAGGCCTTTAGTTTATCTGGGTCTCAAAATATTTGCTCGCTTTGGAATCTGTGAATTCCTAAACTGTTCAGAATCAATTCTGAGGTCATGGTTACAAGTTATTGAAGCTAACTACCATTCCTCCAACTCCTACCATAATTCTACGCATTCTGCTGATGTGCTACATGCCACTGCTTATTTCTTGTCTAAAGAAAGAGTAAAGGTGAGTCTGTGTTTGTAAGAAACAGTGTAGGTGTGATCTAAGGAAGATTTCTCAGAAAAGATGCCAAGGACCAAACGTCTACCTAGTGCCAACCAGTGTGGCAACTGTGAGGTCCAAGAACTAGGCTGTTTTACATGACTTCTAGGATTTGTCTTATAGCATATGTGAAATGACAGACATTGGAATTGAGCTATGGGAGAATGAAAGCCTGCTTTAAAAAAAAGCTTTCTGGGGCAGTTAAACTTACTGAGATGGGGCAACTAATGACACAATTATTTTTGTGAGGGTCCCCTCAGATACAGTTTTAAACTAATAAATGGCCATCTCTTCTGCTGTGCGATGGTTGTTTTGCATAATACTCCCAAGACAGTCTAGGCCATCAAGTAGGTTTGGTGCTCCCAAAGCTATCACCCAGTGGAGGAGATGTCCTGAGGCTTAGAGACTGCACTGAAGGAGAATATTGAAACAGATTATTTGTTGAGGTTCCTTGTACCGTAGTGCTCACTGGTTTATTAGAGCCACTGACAACCAGAATAAATCAGAGCAACCTTTGTTCTCATGCACCCAGAGGGCAGACTGGGCTGTGAGAAGGGGAGTTAAAACAGTGCTTGCATGTGTCTGTAGTAGAGTGGCAGTACATATTTACTGCCACCTGTACTGCATTCTGGATACAAATTCCTACCCTGAATTGGCCTGTCTAAGGACAGTGTTAGTGATGGACACCTGGCTGAGACATTCGTGGCTGTAAACAAGCTTCTGACAGCTCGTTAAAACTGTAGTAAGTCCCTTAACCTGGAGCTGCAGCTCATTAGTGTGTTCTCCAGAGGCTGACTCACAGATACTATATGCCAAGTGAAAGAGGAACTTCACTGGATATTTTCAGTCCTGTATTGCTAGAGGTTTAGCTGGTCTTCACAAGAATATCTCTGAAAAACAGACCAGATCTGGAATCATTTCAATGCCACAGAAGCATGACTGCCTTCTCCTTTTCCAGAATGTTATTCCTGTTCCTCTTTAGGCAAAGGAAAAGAAAAAGTGTTGCAACAGGACAGAAGAAGTAAAATTGAAGTTCAAGATTCTCTCTTTACCTTCTCAAAGTTACAGCACAGCTGCTTCTGTTGTCTACAGTTCAACTTAACCTAAATACAGAAGGCCAGATTCTGCCACTCAAGTTCAAACTGAGATGTTTTCAGTAAACTGAACTCAGTTCTTGTCTGGGAAAGTTTCTTGCCTCCAAAGTGAAGAAATGTTCTCAGAATCATTTTCACTCCTGTGCTGTAGGACGTAAGGTGACAAAGTTAAAATACTTGACCTGAAGTTGGCGGTAAAGGAAATGTAAATCCCTTCACAGTTTGCTATGTCAGACTCAGGAAAATGAGCCTGAGATACATTGCTGTGGTCCAACAGGTCAATAGTCTCCAATTTCTGGTCACTTCCCATCTGCACAGGTCTTTCTCAGCCAGACTGTAGACAACTTGTCCAAGTGGGTTTGCTAAACTATTTGGAGACAAAGCGCTCAGTGTGCCATGATCAGACCCAAGCCTGGCACTTGGGCATTTGCTCTTAGTGCAGACAGACATGATCTTAAAGATAGCCATAAGCCCTTGCATGGCGAGGAGAATACACATAGCCTTAATGCCTCCTGTGATGGATCAGGAAGGATGCAAGCAAGGCTTTCTAGTCCTTCCGTCTGTTTAAACTCTAGCGTGTGCTGACTGGTTTATTTGAGACATTTATAATGGAGTTTTACATGTTACAGCTAATATCACATCTTTTATTTTTTATTTTGACACCATCAGCCCTGCAGTGTTAGTCAAAGTTTTGAAAGTGATGTGCACAATGGACTGATCTGTTTAACATGAGCAGTATTTACGGGCCTGCTTTTACAGATTTATTGTACTCTGGGCATGTAGCTCTCAACAGAACTAAGATTAACTCAGCACAGATTTCTTCAGGAAGATTCATTTTCTGTTGTGTATTCATGGTGTTGTCTAGGAGCGTATAACACAATGCATTACTGTGGCAGCTAATTTTTAAGGTCAATCCTGGAATTTCTATTGAGGTTGATCCCTGAAAAGAGAGGGTAGCAGCAGGCACAGCCTGAGTTCAGGAAGCAGAATGACCTCCAGATCCAAACCACCTCCTGCTTTGGTTGGCTTTCTGAGTTGGCTGGTGTGGGGCAGCGGTAGGTTGCTGTGCCTGCATCTTGCCTCCTGGAGTGCTGTGAGTGGAGACAACAACCTCTGTGCCCCAGTGAGAATGAGTAGTTCTTCACAGCCAGTACACAAGCAGCTTCTGCAGCTCACATCAGGGTCAGACAAAATCTGGCTGTTACTGTTGTTGCAAATGAATTGAGCAAGCCAACATACTAACTGAGGAACCTACAAGAAACACAGATGAGATGGTGCATCCCTCAGAGGAGAGCCTGTTCTAAAATCTCTCTCTCCTGACTTCATGGTACAAAAACAAAATCCCATGAGCAGCAGCTGAAAGAAAGAAGGAAGACATGAACACACAGCAGATAGTATTTTCAGACAATGCTAGCTATGAACCTAGGTTAGAAATATTCTTTGCCTTTCCTTGTTCTTCACAAGACACTGTTGACAACCGTTAATGAATAATATCCTAGCTCCATCAAAGTCAAGTTACCGCGCTAATTTGTAGTCTTTTTACCTACCAGCTCTAACCATTCTGAGTGGTACTGTCAAACCCAGCTGGGAATGTGGATCTTAAATTCAAGCTAATCAGAATGGAACATATCTGTCCCGCTTCCAGATGCCGCTGGAAACATCTCTACTCCTGTTCCTCTTTCATTTTGTTATTGAAATTTTGATATAAGTGTTTTGTGTATATGACCCTTCACAAAAAGCCCAGCATAAACACAACATAGAGGCTACTTTCCAACTATATGCAATAGTTTTCTGAGATGCTTGGTACTTTTTCTCCTTTATGCTTTGAATACAGTGTTAAAACTTACAGGATAAAAACTTAAAGGACAAATAGTTTTGTATTGCATTATAGGATCACTATAACTAGATATAAAGCAATGACAAATATTACTAGACGTAAGCCATGGTGTACAGCATGCTAAGAGAATCAGAATATGATATGGAGATTACAGAACAGGCTGTCATGTAATTTCTCCGTGGATATAAACCATCAAGAATTCTTCATAGAATTCATACTAGCTGTAGCTCCTGGAGACTATTATTATAGAACTGGATATATGTGAAATATTCTTTACAAATCACAAACCTAGCCAACACGTAAGTGAAAAATGATGAGAAAACATTAAATTTCCAGAAGAAATGAAGTCGTCTGATGGAAATAGAATAATTTTTAGCAGTATCAGTCCTTTTTCTAAGCCAAATGCCCTAATTCTGAGTGAAGGTGGTTTCTGTGTTGTTAGAAAGCACAAACTAGTTTGATATTTTATATTTTGTTTAAGATGATGCCCTTTGTCAAAGGTGTGACGAAGGCAAAATTCAGCAGGCACAAAATGGCCAAAAATGTCATGCAATGTTCAGTGAAGCTTATAATGAATTTTCCATTGCTCTGTCTAGAACATCTGACCCTCAATGATCTCCAGAGTTCTGGCTTTTGTCCCTCAGGAACTTGGCTTAACCTTTATGGACAGAGTAGGGTTTCTAATTACTCTGCCAGGAAGACTAAGCATCCTTCTATTTTCAGCAAACTTTGGATCCGATTGACGAGGTTGCTGCTCTCATTGCTGCCACGGTCCATGACGTGGATCACCCAGGAAGAACAAATTCTTTCCTGTGCAATGCTGGCAGTGAGCTAGCAATTCTCTACAATGACACCGCAGTGCTGGAGAGCCATCACGCTGCCCTAGCTTTCCAGCTCACCACCCAGGATGACAAATGCAATATATTTAAAAGCATGGAGAGGTAAGCTCAAAACCTGGGGTACTTGTCTGCCCACTAACATTTCTTGCTTTCTTCTGTGTAACATAGGATAATGCGAACAAGCATCTGGAGGAGGGCAGTGCTTTGTGGACACTTGTACGTAGCCCTTGTGTGAGTTTGCTTCTAAAACAGTACAGTGCCTCTGTCCTGCACAGGCTTAGGAATCATCCTGTAGCTTGGGCTTCTCCTGTTGATAAAAAGACAGACCTTGCCTAAGGAACTTACAATGTAATTCTCACTTTAGCCAGTCTAGGAGAGTCATTTTGTATCTTTGGACACAGAGGACAAGCTATGGCTGAGCGGGTAGACGTTTGCTGACAGAACACTCAAGGAGCACTGCTAAAAAAGTAAATGCCTTGTTGCAATGGATAATGCAAGGACCTGTTGCTCTTCTTCCAGCTCTGGAAAGGCATTTAGGAGGAAGATGTGACCATTGCCGTGGCATTCTCAACACGGCAGAAAAGTATTGCTGAAAACTTGGCTGGAGCATGAGCCACTGCTAAGTGTCTGTGCTAAAAGCCTTGGGAACATGCTGGTGTGACATGTCCTTGCAGCCCTGCTGTATAGCTGGTGCCTCTGCTTCTGCCCAGCTCTTCCATTGTTTCTCCTAAAGATGCAGTCATGCCTCTAGCGTGTATGTCTCTGCACACCAGCAGGTACTTTATGCAGCATAGATGCAGCTTCCCCAGCCTTTCTCACTGTTCTTTCTTCCCTCAGCACCTCTCTACAACACAAATGGTCTGTAGTATTTTTGTTAGACTTGTTTAGCAAACAGCCTTTTGTGAACTAGCCGGCGTTCTTAATCATTTCCTTCTTTAAACAGGAATGAGTATCGAACCCTTCGCCAAGCCATTATTGACATGGTCTTAGCCACAGAAATGACAAAGCACTTTGAGCATGTCAACAAGTTTGTCAACAGCATTAATAAACCCTTGGCAGCGCTAGAAGAAAATGGGGTAAGCAACACTGTAAGTCTTCTCTAAAATGACTAGGCAGGGCCTGGGAACCCTTGGCAATAGGAAATTCCCACATAGTATTCTGAGAAAGTTCATCAGAAACATGGAGAAAGAGAGATTAGAAATGTCTTTCACCTCTGAGTTTGAACGCCCTTCTGCCTAACATGGTCATCAAACATTTTGAGGATGAGCGGGAGTCACTTGGATCCTATTAATATTGCAGTGCTGGGATGTTTTATGAAAACCAGCCACGTGCGTGGGACCAGAAGCGTGGCATGTGTATTTTCCTGTTAAAAATGCTACGACTCTTGTAATAGCAAAATGGCTAGTGATCCAGAGGCCTTTTAGATTGGATGGCTACTTAGTAAGCAACCCCCGTTGCTCCCAAGGAGAGTGTGCTGGCAGCAAGGCCTGGTGTTCTGGTTGGCCATTTCTGCTAAGAGGCCATGATTTGCCTCACAACAGAAGCTGAATTACTCCCTGACTCACAACAGGAGCTGCTGGTGGCACAGCGTAAGGGCAGGTATATCGACTGCCATATGAGACGCTCTTTGGAAGTGAGGGACCTCAGCTTTCAGTGCTGCCTGGTAGCATTCATGGGTTTTCTGCCTCCTTTCTTTTTTAATCTCTAAAATAGATGATGGTGGCATTATGTATCATATAGACATAATCAATAGCCATCTGGAACCCTGTGGACACAATGAAATTGCCTGTTAGGAACTCATTCTGAAAAACCACACCAGTTTCAATAACAGCTTCAACCAGCAGTTTTGTTGCCAGTAAGAGCAGCGTATAATTTTGTTGGAATGGTTTTTGCAAAGAGAAGATTTTCAGAAATGGTTATAATAAAGTTTGCATTGGTGGCAACGTCCTGTAGGAGCTGTAATGGTTTTCTGTGTTTTCTTACCATGTTTTTTAGAAAGCCACATATTTGAATGTTGGGTGTAATGGGGGAGGGCAGCCTTTTTGTCATCAGAGGGTGGGAGAGGCACAGATCTCATCCCTCACCCATCAGCAGCAGATTGGAGCTAGATGGGGAATATCTTTGTCCATAGGAGCATATGCTAGAATTAGCTTTGTTGTTGGCACCCAGTGGTGCTAATGAGAAGTATGTGAATGTGAAGCCAAAGTCCCAGTAGGATACTCTTTTACTGACTAAACTGGGAGAAAGGCTGTAAAGTCTGTGGCTATGAAGTATTTTTCCCAGACAGCCTCACGTCACAGAATGTGGCTTCAAGTTACAGAGAGACTAACACTAATTTCTGTGGGTGTTGCATTGGACCTGATATAATTATGAAGTTCCCTGCCCAGGACGCATCTCCACTTTGTAACAAGTGCCTGTCCACTGCTGCTAGAACCTGGAGTCTAGCACACAACTAGTGTCTGTATACATTTGTCCTTAGATGAAGCATTTAGTAGTTAAGCCTGTGTTATCATAGGTGGTCTCCTACCTATTGCCAGTACAGAAAGGTTGGTCAAAAAACATGCTTAAACTGTAAAGTCGTTTTCAAAGCTTAGCAAATGACAGGACTAACACCATCTCTGCAACCTACTGGCTCCATTTATACACACAAATTATGATGCAGTCAGGCATTAAGTGTATCTTCAGATTCTGGTTTTCACAGGTGCTTCTCTGATTACAGAGTCTCTTCACCGCCCACTGTCTTGTTCTGCTGTTTTCAGTTCTCACCCACCACTCTGCTCCTTGGCTTCTCACTGGCTCCGTCTCTTCCTCCTTCTTCCAGCACCAGCTTCCTCATTCAACAGCCCCCTCCTTTTTCAGCCTTCCTCTCCTCTCCCTGTTGTGTTCGCTTGCCAGTCTGCTCTTGTCTCCTTCACAATTCTCAGGCTCTTTGAGCTGCTCTACTCCCTCTCTTCTCCTTTTTTGCATTCAAATCAGGCAACAACCTCCTCTTCCATGCTGCTTTTTTCTGCAGGCTTTGATGGACTCCCTGTTCTTAGTTACAAAACCTGGACCTGGATGATGCCTGGTCCAGCATAGCCAAGAACTACAGTTGCAGGAAGAGTCCTGTTCAGTCCCAGCCTCCAGCAATCCCTATTGAGTCTACACAAACCGCAGATTTTTTTTTTTTGTTTTAATTCCCAAAGCTTGTAACTCATCCAGCAGATTTGCGCAGGGATGGTGATTGCCTTACCCCCAAACCATCCCTCCCACTAAATTCCAGGTCATGAATTCATTCATAAAGGTGTAGAAGTATTAGAAAACAAAGAAACAGTAATATTTTTTAATATCAGCATGAACAGTTTATTTCCCCAACCTTGTATTTAGAAGCCACCAAAACATTTTTAAGTGCAGTTTTCACAGAAAAAAACATCTTTGCCTGAAGTTTCCCCACCAGGTGTCTGCCTCAACCAAACAATTTAAATTGGCAGTTATGAACAGTATTAAACAAGGTCTTTCAATATGAAGTGTCAGCCTCCAGGCTAGCCTACAGCCATAGCTGTAGATGATCCAACTGTTTCATTTCAGATTTATCTTTTTTTAAAACATATATTTGTATTAATTCATGATTATGGAGTGTTTTTATTTTCCAGAACCAGATTTTGCTTAAGAAAAAAATAAGAAATAACACAATAATATATTTATTTGAATGCCTGATGGACAACTTTTGTTTCAGGAGATTTTAATGGAAATGTAAGGCTGGCAGAATGGATGGAAAATTGTGAGGCTAAACACTTCTACTCAATTTCTTGAATGTAATAAACAAGAAAACAAGAGGAGGGAGTAATTCTTGGTTGATTTCAAGCAAAGGAGCTGGCCCAGCAAAGCTAGGGCACTCCTGTCTGTCTGCAGTGGCCTGTAGGTGAAGGAGCTGTTTGACGGCAGCTCCTTTACTCATTCCAGCACTACCACGCCACGTCCCTGCTCACCCCGCAGGGTAGTCTGGCAAGTAGGCACACTGAGGGACTGATTCTCCTGCCAGAAAAGAAAGGAGTGAAAAGGGACTAGATAGAGAAAGAAAGGAGAATGAGAAATGGGTATGTCTGACAGAAGCAAGGAGGAAATGATGAGTGCTGTGATGAGAAAGGAGGACTAAAAGGAGCTGCAGCACCTGTGAAGGTAGAGGATGCAGCACAGAGTCCCAGAGATGAGGGCAGCGGTGAACTCAGGAGGTTATCTAGTCAATCCACTAAGGCAGGAGTAATTATACCTACAGTAGTCCTGAAAAGTGGTTAGGAACAAAGGAAAAGGCTGTACACTTTTTTTTTTTTAAATTCAGATCAGGAAGCAAAATGTTTTCCTTCTCTTAGGTATGGGTTTCTCTGCTGAAGCAGGTTCCTACTAAAAGGCCCATAATGTTTGACTGGGTAAAAGCAATCATTTGCTGTGCTTGTTACTGGCAGAGCAACACTGGCAGATCCTCTCTCAAGTCCGGTTGTGTATCTGGTTGCAGCGGCAGAGGGTGTTTCCTGGCCTGTTTTCCAGGCATGGCTGTGACTCAGTGCAATGTTTGCAGGCTGAGCTGCCAACCATGTGTTCCAAATGGGACAGTTCCACTTTTTTTTTTTTATTTATTATTCTTATACATATTTGTTCAAAGAGCCATGCTGAGAAGCTGCTCTGTTTGTTTCCTTTCTTCTTTTGTTTCATAAACTGAAAAAAATCCATTCCAGCTCCAGCATCCTTTATCCTCCCATTTCCCTTCATGATGTCACCTAAGCCTCTGACAGGAAGCCAACATCTGACATGCAGAGACACCTCTGCACTCTGAGCAGGATGCTGGGACTAAGCACAGTTAGCACATTTTATTCCCAAGACATCCGCATCCAGCAACCACAACTGCGCTCTTGGTTTGAACGGATCAGGGAAGCAAACATCCTTTCTTGATTCCTGGTGATTTACCTAGTAGGCATGTTATCTGCTGATCTGTTGTCCTTAACTGAGTGATCTCTAATCAGTTTCTTTCCATGCAATTGGAGATAGATGCAACTCACTTTGTTTCCGCTCTATTTTCCCTGCTGTATATCTAAAAATGGGGGGAAGAACTGGTTCTGGACTCCCATTTTGGTGGGAACTGCAGAGCTGGTGTTTCTGAACCCAGAAACTACCTCCTAATAATTTTTAGATTATTAATGATCAGTTTCTTCCTTCAGAAAGAACTTTCTTCCACGTAATGAAAAGTGTGTCCCAATAAAAGATCAGACTGTTTCTGCGTCTTTGTAGAAGCTGACTAGTGTCTACCTCTTCATACAAAGTACTGCAGGATCTGGTGGCATTGTTACCATTATTCCTGTTACTTCTTCGCTGCATCAAATATAGAGCAAGGCCTTGGTAGGTGCTAGAGAACTCTGGTATATTCCTTGCTTCAAAGAGTTTCTAATGCAAGTAGAAGATAAGAGACTATGTAGTACATCTCTGTATGCACTCATCCAGGTAAAGATTCAAGTAATAATGAGGTCCCTGTGGGTGATTTTTTAGGTATTTTAATCACGAATCCCTATCCTTTGGACACTTCTTTCATCAGAGCTCCATAGAAAAAAGCTTCTGATCTGGATCACTGGAACCTTTACTTGTATTAACTGTATACTGGCTCCAAGTACTGTTCACTGGCTCCAAGTACTATTCACATGCTGGTATGTGCAGCCTGGGAACCAAATATAGGCCATGCGTGGGCTGAAACCTTTTCTAGACTAGCAGAAGAAAGATGAGGCTGTTCTGAAGCGAGTTCATAATATATCACTTTAACAGTGATAAACTCTCAGAAAGCAAAATTCCCAGTCAGGTCGGAGACTGACAGGCTAACATGGTTCCAGGGGAAGGGAAAGGAGGCGCATGACTGGGAGGCAGTGTGGGATCTAACTCTCCTAATAGCAGTAGTGCTGCCATAATGATTGATGCTTATGCTGATGAGGTCTGTGCGCAGAGGATGACCGTGCATCCCGGGTCAGTCCTCTTTTCTTAGCAGATATTCCACTCTTAATGTAAACGCCCATTAATCCTTGGATTTCAGTGGAGAAATACATTTTTCTGCCTCAACAATACTCATCAGTATGTGTACAATGATGAATGGATCCTCGACACGCTCTTAAGGAGGCAGATAAGGCACAGAGGGATTAAGTGACTTGCCCAAAGATGCCTAAGAGATCTGTCACAGATGGTGAATGAATCGAGAGACTAGCGAGTTCAGTGCTAGTTCAGAGCTGTAGCTAACCTTCGTATTTCCCTGCAAGTTCAGCTTAAAGTACTTTGTCATAAAGTACTTTGTCATCAGTGGCAGGCCTGGTTCCTATACAGAGACATTCCCAAGGCACAAAGCTTTTGAGTAAGTATGCAGAGACCTTGCTAATGGATTCTTTTTAATTCTCAACTGTTACAGAATAATGGTGATGGAGAGTCAGTCAAAACCGTTCTCACATCTCCTGAAAACCGTATCCTTATCAAACGCATGTTGATAAAGTGTGCGGACATTTCCAATCCATGCAGACCCTTAGAGCAGTGTATAGAGTGGGCTGGACGTATCTCTGAGGAGTATTTTGCACAGGTAAGGCAGCTTAAAAGGGCTGCTTAAATTCCAGGTAAGCATTTCTTTAAAAAGCAAGAGAAGGATGCTTACATTGTCAATCTCTGTCTGTCTCAAAAGATTTAAGGCTGCGTTATGCAATGTGAAAAATATGAACTTTTTTTATTTTAATGGTGGCATATTACTCATGCCAGTGCAAGACTAGTTGCCTTCATACAAAAGGAAATTGACAGCTTCTATAGTGCTGTTTTTGAAAAATTTAAGCTTTCACGTCAGTTTGCCGTTTTAATTTTCTGAGTTTTGCCTGCAAATGCATTGCTGTCCCCACATGCTGGTTATGCCTCAAGATTAGCATCATCAGGTTCCAGCGTGAGCGTGGGAACAGCTCTTGCTCCGAGACATGCTGTTAAGTCTTGCAACAACCTGCGCTGAAGAAAGGCCTGAGGAAGGTGGCGAAAAGGCGAGGGCAGAGTCATTGTAACAGATGATAGACCAAATACAGAATTTGGGACTTTGTATCTCAAGGAGGGGAAAGAGGATAAAAAAGATATTTCACAAGATATGTACGGAATGCCACTTCTGTTGGAGATTAAGCATGGTGGAGCATCTTTTAACTCCAAAGCAGTCATAAATTTAATCAGTAACTCGTGAAGTACCTCAGGACCAGCTTTGTGTGTACATGCAGAAGATAAATACATCACTTTGTGGAAAACACTAGAAGGCACTCTTCTGTCTGCTGTTTGGCTGAAACCTATACAATTAGGTACTTAGGATTTACTTGCTTTTTCTTCAGATTTATTCAGGTTCCTCTGTTTATTTAGCAATTGCACGCTCTAGTCAGTGCCAAACCAATCTGTTGCTAAAAGAAGCTCATTAACAGAATGTGTCTTAGATGAATAATCACAAGACTGTTCTTTGCAGACCGATGAAGAAAAGAGACAAGGTTTACCTGTGGTGATGCCAGTTTTTGACAGAAATACTTGTAGCATCCCCAAATCCCAAATATCATTCATTGATTACTTCATCACCGATATGTTTGATGCCTGGGATGGTAAGCAAAACTCTGCGGGGTATTTCCTATCAATAAGTATTTTGCAAGCATTTGAAAGTACTGTGATATAAAATTGTTTTCTTATGACTCCTAAAAAAAGGTGAAGAAAAAGGAAAATTTCTACAGTTCAAGTACACCTAATAACTTCATTATAGCTTAGAAGTATTTTGATATTGCTATGAACCATTCTCATGGCTTCCCTTTAATAAATGAGTTTCAGGCAGTGTTTTAACCTTTTTTTAAGCTGGCTCCTCTCTAAATGGAGAACAGAGCACATTCACTATGATAACACGTTGTGCATAGTCATTTTGTCCATGTTAACATGAGTTATTCTGCAAGACCAATTTCTACAGCCTGGAAACTGCTTGGGGGAGCAGCTAGTTCCTCCCAAGTGCTGCCTCTGCGGTAAAAGTGGTCAGAAATGTGACTCTCCCCTGAATGCCAGATCATGACATGTGACGGAGATTTAATAAAGCAGAATAATTACAAGCATAATTAGTTATGCCCCTCCTAGAAAACTGGGTCCCTTTGCTAGTGCTTGCAATACCAGTATTAAGTAGACTCGGAGAACTGTTCTCCGTAGCCTGGGAAGATGCATGAGTGATGAGAACTATAAAGCGAGAACTGTTTTCAACTATCAGTATGACAGATTTAAGCATTCCTACTTAACACAGTTGCCCAGACATTTAAAGTGATATTTAAGCTGACAGAATCATGTGACTGTTTCAATTCTGCAAACTAAATAGACTTTGCCCTTTCTTCCCTAGCATTTGCAGACCTGCCAAATTTGATGCAGCATCTGGATAATAACTTTAAATACTGGAAAGGACTAGATGAAAGGAAGCTGCGGAGCCTTCGACCACCACCAGAATAGCAATTAGGCCATGGTGTGTAATTTACTAACCCGATGCATATTTATTCAAGCTCACTTTTGTTCATGTGATTTCAGATCTGTTTTGGTCTCCTCAGTATTACAGTAAGGCTAGCCCATGCGCTTGGGGAACTTTCGAGAGAACACCACCAGGTCAGCAGTTGACTCCTTCAAACTACCATGTGTGGACTCCAATGAGATCAGCCCATCAAGTGGAATTACACTGGATTGCTGCAGTACTTGTACTGAAGAGGGTCTGTTAGTGAACGCATTTTTGCATTATCTTTATACCAGTATGTGAAGCTGGAAGACCTTGAAGAATCCTCATAAAAAGGACATTCACTAGAAGATTTTGCTTAATCCTCAATTCTGCAGGTGAAAAAGAAGTATCTATTAATAGTGACTCACAGCTTTTATGAGAAAGCTACATGCTTTTTATAAGCACTTAAGACAGTTACGTAGAACAATCAGACATTTAAAATGCAAGTCTCCATGAAGGAATTTTTGATCTATGAAAAATAGATGTACTCTATTTTTTCACATCACAGAAGGTGCAATCATTCACTTCTGAGCACTACTGAAAGTGAGTTCTCTTTAAGAAATTTAGTAGCAAATGTAAAAAAATAACACAAGATTTTTTGAGGTTGATCGTTAGCATCTATGATTAAAATGATATGTTTTATTTATTTTGTTAGATGTTCAATATTTTCTATGAATTTATAAATACTTAAAAGCCAAAGCCAACTTTAGATGCATTACAAATTTACATGATTCATACTCATTAATATACATTTAATTGATGTACAGACCTTTTATTTTCATAATGCAAATACAAAATACTATACAATGATACATTTTTATTGCACTGTAAGGATAGATGTGTATGTTTAAATATTGTCTGATTTATGTTAATTAAAATAAGTTTTATTGAAAAGGTCTCACTTGAGAATAGTAAAATAAACAAGAAATGTATACTGTCTGAGCACCAGAACTGCAGTAGTTCTCTCACAAACCAGTGACGATCACCTGATCTTCCCTTGGCTACAAAAGAATATAATATGTTGGAACTTCTTGTTTTCTCCCGTGAAATTTTATGATTAAATTCCCTGTTAAAATCTGCCTTATTTTATATAGTATTTCTACAAAGCATTCCACAGCATATATGAAGAGGTAATACTAAACATCTAATGAATTTCAACATTTTATAGCCTGTGTATTTTCCTCTGCCGTGAAAGAAACAGAACATAAAACCAACAAAAACCTTTAACTCAAGAAGTTTGTAAAGGCTGTGTACGTTCACAATTTGAATGAAACCTTCATAGCAAGCACCAGAAAATAATAAAATGTATATTTTAAGAAGTGTCAAAGTCCTAGCCATTTCATTTGAAATACATGTTTATTTTTAGTTTGCAGACTGTCTAATAGATACTTGAATTTTTTTAAAAAATAACTAAGACATTTGCTGTCTGGGGAAGGGGAGAGCTGGGCGGGTTGAATTGGCATCAGGGTGATGAAAGGTGGCATCCTGCTAGCAAGTCCCTGAGTTTGAGGCCTGCCCTTTGCAAAGCATCAAAAATGTCTTCTGTGCCCTTGGACAAGTCCCGGCACAGCTGAAAGCAGTGTGATGCTGAGTTCTACTGAAGGACTGAAAGGCCTTTGTGGTAGGCAGGAAGGCACTCCAAGAGCTCAGAAGGAATTGCTATGTCAATTCAGAGGCAATTGCCTGACTTCTGAGAAGGGACTTTTGGAACCATTCCTGAAGAAAGAAGCACAAGTGGGAGAGGTGGCCAGTGGAGCAGTTCAGGGGTGGCAGCAGCAGGAAACTTAGAGCAGGTGAGGAAGGAACGGGTGACCACTCCAGCTGTCACCTGCCTCTGTGTTTCTCCTTCATCTCCAAGCTGATGAGACATAGGCTACCACCGTTTGTAGCTCACCGCTGTTGAGGTTTGAGTCAAGCCTCTACCCCGTCTCCCTGCTTGAGTGTTCTCCCTTCCTATCTAGTATCAGGTTTATATGCTGTGAGGGCAGGGAATTCCCTTTAGTTCTTCTGTGCTTGAATACTGCCTAGCCCAGTGGGGCTCAGGTCCTGCCTAGGAGCACCCACGCTCTAGCATTAGCTCAGCAGTAAGAGGACAGAGGAAAAGGGGTCCTTGTCAAGGGTACAGGTCCTCATCGATCTTCCAGGACTTCTACAATTGTAACTGAAGGAACGGATATATTCCCATTGAAGACTAAAGAGTGAAGTATCCCCTTTTCCGAGGAGGGGAAGGATGCAAGGAGAGGGAGAGATGACTGCCAGATGCTTTGTTTTCCTGGCAATATTACACTGCATTTCCGTATATATGCATCTATTTTAATCACCTGTAAGTTGCCACCTGGTGTTAATCTCTTCCATTGCACGGAGGTTCCTGTGCCTAATTCAGGGAAAAGCTACTCTCTGGCTCCATTAGAGGAAAGCTACGTTACACCATCTCTACTCTAATATCTCTACTTATCTGCTGCAAGGAGGATAGGAGAAGAAAAGTAACAGCATATGGGTCCAGAGAATGTCTGCAGGAAGGCAGTAAAAATATTTCTTCATAAGTGTAGTTAATGCACTTGGTTGTATTAATGAACGGTAAAAGCAGTTCATTTAATCTGCTATAACAAACGCCCAGTGCATCATCCCTGGAAAGATGTGATGAATATCATTAATTCCATGAGATTCATACTGCATCTTTAATGCCATTACTTGGAGTGTAGAGCTGTACTAATCAGCCTATTGTATCAGCCAGATTTATGCCTATATTGCTGTACAATAACTTCACTTAACATAAAACACTAATTTGCAGCCACTGAATGCAGCCCTGTCCATTCTGCTGTCCCATTAAATTTAGCATTGCCAGGGATGGCTTATGATTACAGGGAATCTGGAAATACCACATCTGACCCTCACCTAAGATGTCTTCCCAGCCAGCTTCTCTCTATGGATCACATTTCTCTTACTTTTTCAGTCTGGTAACTCTGTACCGTCCAGGGGACTGACTCTCTTTCCTCCTACCTATAGAAATGTCCCTTTCTCCACATCCCAGCTTCCAGCTATCTCCACACATTGCTCCACATTTCCTGCAGCCTTTTTCATTTTGGTCATGTGGCACAGGAAAAATCCCTGAATTAGACTGCACATGTTTTGGTGCCTTTTAACGGAGGAGGATGTGTTCAGCAGTCTTTGACTGCTAGAATAATCTCTTGAAACCTTAGATAATTTGAATAATAAAACTGTGTCAACAGCCTAAAGGGTCTCAAAAGCATCAACATTAGGGAGATGCAAAAGTAGCATAAAGATACCTAACCTATATCATGGGATTTGTACTAAACCTAACCAAAGAGTTGAGATACACAGTTCAACATTGCTATTTCCAACTTCATCCCACAACACCTCCCACCTTTCCTGTTCAGTTTCCTCTCGTGTATATTGTCCTTGTCTGCAGCCAAGCAAGCAGGCAGGCCAAATGCTGCGCAGAAGGGCATCAGAAAAGGGTGGATTCGCTCTGATTGTTTCTGTTTCTGACAACAGGTTTGTAAAAATAAGGCTAAAAATATTGTTGAGTGAGCAATGAACTGGCAGAGGACTTCAGCATTTTTTTTTTGTTAAATAAAGATCAGGAGGTCAAAACGGTTACAAGAGCACAGGGAGTAGATCCTTTTTAAATTTTTCATTTTTAAAATAGATGAGTTAAGTCTATCATCTTTTCAGTCCCAGTATCTACTGCTGGTTTCCTTGTGTGAGATTTCACTTTCCTACATCTGCAATTTAACCTACCATAAAACTAGAAACTTTTTTCAAAGATTTGAAAAAAGAACTAAGTAAATCTAGGCATTTGTCTCATTTCATTCCACTCTACCAAATAACTTGATCTTAGGAATAAATAGATAAATCCACTGTCTGATAGCCTGTTGCATTACCTAGAGAAAAAACTTTCATTATCAGTTAAAAAAAAATACTTCAGAGAGTTACACCATTTTTTTGTAGTGATGGAGTCACTGTATGGCTCTGGAAGGGTGTTTGGAAAAACACTGTGTTTGAAGAATTTTATGGTGAGCAAATACATCTTTAAGCCTTCTGTGCCGTGGAAAGCTGTGTGAGCTTCGTAGTGGGGAGAGTTCAGGCTGCTGGCTAAAGAACTGGAAGGTTTTTTTGTTGTGAAACAGTAAAAGCTCTGATCTGACATTCATCTCTCCAAGATCTAGATATCTCTGGATCCCATTGCAAATTCTTCAGCCATTCCAGATCCCCTTTCTTTCTTCTCCAAGACTACAAATCAACGTCAAATGCCCTATGCTCTGAACAAGGGTTTAGTTTAGCTTTGCTTAGTGCAGTTTAGTATCTTTGCTCTTGTTTTTTGAACTGTCACCAAGTGATGGAGCTCTGCTTGGGACAGAAACTGTGGGTTTACTGATGTAGTAAAAGTCCTTCATCATGGAAGGGAGAACATTGGAATGAACTGACAGGGTATGTTTGACATTATTCCCAGCTTCAGACAGGCTGGCAGTTTTATATGGCATCTATAATTTTCATTTACTCTTGGTTTAATACTAATACAAGTGTTAATTCCAATGTAGGCATGACAATTGGAGAGTTCTTTTATTTGCCTCCGAGGTTTTAATCTCAAAACTTTGCATTTTTAAATTGAATAAGGTTCAGTATCCAGCATTAAATGACCCATGCAGAATTATTAGCTCTACTTTCTGGGCTCTATTTTCAATCTGGCAATCCTGCTATAAACCTGGCTATCATTTTAGTTGCTTCCAGATAAGTTCGGAACTATTATGATCTGGTAGAAAAATGTTGGCTCCTCAATGAATTGTCCTAGGTGAGTACCTTAGACCCTTCAAGAGACAGGTACAAGACGCTGTGTGGTAATGGATTATTCTTACAAAAGGGATACAAGAGGTGATGGGCACAGCTAGCTTGTCACAGGTCTGAAGTTGGCTTTCATACTATAGTTTTCCCAATGGCTGAATGCAGATTAAAAATCACCTGAAATGGAATGGATGCCTACCTTTTTGCTCCATTGCTTTCTCTGTAGCTGTCTCTACTGGTCTCAATAGAGCTATCACTGATAGGACACTTAAGAAAATGCGTTGTGAACGTGAAGGTATTCAAACAATGACAAAGCTGTTCTTTCATAAAAGAGAATAAAGGATAGTAATATTAAATATCTACTAATTCCTGGCATGGTGCTCAGAAACAGCACAGGGAAACTAGTCAGTTGTGCCCTTCTGCAAGACCAGAAGGGTTTGAGTCATGACTCTGCATGGAGCACTTTGAAATGAAGTCTCAGAGCTATTCACAAGCTTCAAAACAAATAATCTCTCTGCTGATGCGTGACATCATGCCTCCAAGGTACGGCTGTCCCAGGGGGGCTCATTAAGTGATAGCAGGATGGATTGCATTTCAGGCTGACATGGTGTTTGGATGCAGAAAACAAGCTTTCAAATTACTGCCATGTCCCTGTGCGGCCTGTACTGCCGGTTCGGATAAAAGGGAATGTCAAGGTGCTTCAGATATTTTTTGTTTTATTGAAGCTGTGGTCCGTGGGCAAAGGAGTTCTGTATTGAAGTCCACTGAATGCTTTCTCTGGCTGCCTGCTTTGAATGTTACTTTGAATGCCACTTTGAATGCAAAGTGTCTCTCATGCTTTCTTCCCTGCCCCTCGTTTAAGATCTTTAAGACTCTCCTCCCTACACTTTCCAAACAAATCTCGGTGATTTTAGCTTCATAAGCCTTGTGTAGCTATGTCTTAGCATCCTTCTTTAATATGTAAGGCAACTGAGATAGCAAAGGCCAGAAGACCCAAACAAAATATGTTTGA